ATGTCTTCACCCTGTCGACCTTTAATTAAGAACCAAAATTTAATAGTATTAATGCCCCTTTATACGCAAGCTACAGTGCCACATTTCGTTTCTTAAACTTTACCCGTTCTGAGATATTGTTTAATATCTCAGAACAGGAAATAAAGAAATTAAACAACTTAGGCGCCAACACACACACACTCGCGCGAATTTTTCCTCTTTGTTGACTTTCTTGAGGGGTTCGGGAGGTCTCCAAACGTGTAGATTTGCAAAAAAAAAAAACTTGTAGGGTCAAATTTTTCACGATTCCAATACTTTTCCGTTTTATATACATAACAAGTTGGTAAGTAAAAAGGAGTTGGAGTCGAAGGATTTTTTGACGACTCCGACTCCGACTCCACAGCCCTGATTCTTATAGAAAATTTGAGAACTGAGAAGTAAGGGCTTCCACTAAATACTTAACAAAGTTATGTTGGAATGTCTATTCAAATTCCTGTCTTTTTTGTGGTCTCTGACTCCTGATGGTCTGATAAAGATTAAATGTGCTACATAATACTAAATTCAGTAATGATGTTCGTATGTTACACATATAATTAACAATTATTCTAATAGCAACCCCAGCAATTTAATGGGCTCCAGAACTAAGAAGCATTTGGTGAACAAAGTATTCTGTTCATCTGTATATGATATCCAGATTACATATTTTACAGAGCATAGTTTGTCTTATTTGTATAATACTATTCAATTTAAAACCTCAGATACTTAAAAATATTGTTATTTACTTTTTCCAAAACAAATTTAACTTTAATAAATGATCTTGAGCAAATGCTATTTATTAAAAATTGAATGTATATTATTGTGACGGTATCACAATAATAAACATATCTTGCTTACTAAGCTTCCAATAATATACATATCTGCTTGTCATACTAAGCTTTCCATATCTGGTCTTGATGATAATCTACCTCTGTTCTCAAAATTAATGAAAGACGGTTAGATTGAGTGGGAATGTATAGGTCTGCAGTCTAAAAATTGCAGTCCACTAATCGCAATTCAAGTGACAAATTGTAGTGAAGGAATAGTAATGTTTCTGCATTCCTCGAAAGTAAGCAATTTTATTGGTCATCATTGGTAATTTTTTAAAAATATAAACATATATAACTTTCTTATTGAATAGAAGATGCTACTTTCACCTCGTGTAAGATTGATTCTTAAAGGATTTGAAAAGTTGAGAATCAAGAATCACTGGCTTTGAGTTTGTTTAAAAAATTTTTATTAACGTTAATTTTCAGTATACAGTGACTGATTTTATGGAAGTTGTAATGAAATACATGCACTCAAAAATAGGTGGTAGAATGGTAACAACTCTCTAAGTCTTTTGTTTCATGCCGTTTTAAATATAGTAAATCAGCTGATACTTGGTAAACAGGATAAACAAGAATATTTAATATTCAATATACCTTGTAACAGTTACATTTAAATGATTATTTAGTATTTGACAAAAAATTCCTATCCAGTTTAGATATTATTTTTCTAAACTTTGACTTTCCCATTGTATAGCTGTCTTGAATAATAAAAATAATCTTCGTGTATATAAAATTAAAACCAGTTTATATTTTTCAGTGTGCTAAGAATTTTTAACGAAGATGGCTTCAGCAGATGACGTGGAAATACAGACTTTGGTATTTTTTGATACTGAAACTACTGGACTTCCAGTTCGTTTTTCAGATAATAGAAATGTACAAATCACAGAATTATCACTTGTAGCTGTTGACAGAAGAGAATTTGAAAGCAATAAGGAAAACATTCGTGTCATTAATAAATTAAACCTCTGCTTTAGACCAAGTTGCGATATTTCATCCGGGGCTGCAAAAGTGTCAGGTAAACGTATTAGCAAGTACAGTACATTAGTAAGTGATAATAATCACCACATTAATTACACTAAAAATCTCCAGTTGTAATTGAGTTTATTGATTACAACTAGATTTTTTAGCATAATTGTTAATATTTGACAATTTTGCTTTTTCCTCTATGTTTTTGCAGAATATCATTTCACATCTTTCTGCTAGTGTCATAGATGTCTTTTAAACTCCGAAACGTTCGGAGTTTAAAAGAAATATTCCAAATTTTTATATAGTTATATTGACAAATTTTGTAAACATTTACTAAACACTGCACAAATAACCATTATCTAGCAAGAAGAAATTATAAGTACAGCCTGGCACACGTATTTGTAAAATTCAAATGACTCGTACAACATGGAATTCATATAAAACGGAATAATCAACAGTGTTATAGTGGGGTCGACTGTAGTTAGCCTCATGTATTCTATTCATGTATTCTATCCATTAACTTAAAGTTCTGCATGGAATCTACAATGTACATACCGTTGTTCGTTTACATTTCCTGTATTTTATTTCCTTGGTAGTGCTCATAGCGGAGCCAAGGTATGCATTTATGCCTCCGTAAATAAATTGAATTGAATTGAATTGTAGTTAGCCTGACAATGCCCATCAAACATGGGTGAAAAACATTTGCTTTCTTGTAATTTCTTCTTTTTAAATATTGGTTATTTGTGCACAGTTTATTAATGTATTTCTAGTTTTGAGTAATTGAATTTATAACACTTACATTTTATATAATTTCAGGTTTAACCGATTCATTACTTCAGTTTCAAGAAACATTTATAAACAGTGCCGAATTAATAATATTATTCCTTGAAAGATTGAATAAACCTATTTGTATTTTGGCTCATAATGGTGATAAATTTGATTTTCCTCTTTTAAGAGCAGAATTTATTAATTCTAGAATGGATATTTCTAAATTGATGTTTTGTGCAGACACCTTACTTGCCTTCAAGTCCATTCTTCCTAATACAGACATTAAAATTCAATCTTCTTCAGTAAGGAATGAAGATTTGGATCAAAATGATGTTAAACGGAATACTTCTGCTGATAAAAAAACTCCATCAAAATCAAAAGTAGAAATTGTGTCTTACAAATTAAGCAGCCTGTACGAATATTTCTTTAATTGTTCTCAACCCGATTCACATGAAGCCGAAGGTGACACTTTGGCTCTGTTAAAAATGGCAAAGAAAATAAATGATCAGTTTCTGACATGGATGGAAGAAAATAAAGTCCCATTTGAAACTATAAACTCATTATGGAAATAATTTAAGATAATTTTTAATTATTATAAATAGAAATATATGTAATACACATCGAATAATAATACAAGAANAAAATTCCATAAAAAGTGGGCGGGCCAGTAGGGGTTAATTATGAGTGTATTGTGCTGTACATAACCATCACACTTCGCTTCGATATAACGTAGATGAGTTACGTGATTAATTTTTGTAGATCACACCACTCATTTTTCTAACTTTCTGACATCGTGACAGAAGTTACCAACAACCGTAGCAACAATAAACAGTGAATTTCGGCTTCGAATTTAACTTTGCTTTATTTACAGTCAGGCCCGCCGTAAGCGGGCGTGCAAGGCGTGCACCGCACGCGGGCTGCACGTCCAGGGGGCGGCAAATCGAGCGATCGGTCACGTAATGTTCAAAGTAATTGTCGTAATACCCACCCTACTTATAGCATAAGAAATGTCTTCGCATGGAGAAATAAAATCCGACCAGCGCGCAATTACTATATTCTTATTTAGCCTATATTATAGCGTTAACAGCGCTTCTATTGGCATTTATCAGAATTAAGATGCAATGCGAAACGTCTGTCGGCAGGTTGAACCATCCGGCGGCGCCCGAAAGCCAAGTACCCATAGTCGTGCTCTATGACAGAAGTTGACAGGACTGGCGAAAATAGGGAATCCTCACAGAGCTTTCTTATCAATTTGAACTTGTACGCATTCGAACAGTTCTATCCCATATCAAATTGCAATTATTTTGTTAATAATTCTTCTGACATGTGTCTAAGTATAATTAATGATATTTAACTTGATTAGGATTTAAATCTGAAGCTTAAAGACGATTCGAGTAGTGAAACAGACATTGACGGTATTGATTTGTTTAATGAAATCAATACTTTAAAGTTATTTTCCAGAAAACCAGTCTAATGATCCACAAACCCTATTACAATCAATGGCGTACCGTAGGGGGGCGGTAGGGTCGGTCCGCCCCGGGCGGCACTTTTTAGGGGGAGGCAAAATTTCACAATAAAAAATAATAATATCTTGTAAAATTTTGAAACATCCTAATCTATACGCCTACGATAGTGCTATCGCGCCTATGATATCGAATGAAATTTGATTAAAAAAAAAAGTCCCATTAAAAAACAATTAATTGTTAATCATGCGTCATTAAAATCGCGATAAAATTTTTTCGCGCGGGAAAAAAATTTTGAAAAAATTTGGATACTTAAAAAACATCCAAAATAATTTTTTTTCAGAAACGCCTTAAGGACCGGTTTTTTGTAACGCTATGGACCCCGCTCGAAACATCCTCGAGCGTGGGTACGAAGGTGTTTTTTTTTTAAAAAACAAATTTTTAAAATAACTTGTTAAAAAGTTAAAACACTTCAAAGGTTAAGACAGAAGATAGCCGTTATTTTTTTTTAAAGTATAACTGCATATTATCAGAGAGAAAAGTACTAACGTTTACGTTTCAATGCATTTTGGGTGACAATTTTTTTTACTCGCACCCCTCTTCGGGTAAAACATAACTAAATTAGGGAAAACATACAGATGTTACACAAATTACAACATTCAAATGATTTACATTATAACGAACTGACTTCTTTCGCTGAAAAATACAGCGCCCATCTTTATCGATATCCTACCTTCGAGGCATTGTTCTAACAGTCTTTTGTCCGTTTTCGCGCTATTTTGTTTTCACTACGTCTATCCAATGGGATGGAGATAGATGACGCGAGGACGGATGTGGTAAGGGCAAAATAGTGCGAAAATGGACAAAAGACTGTTAGAACAATGCCTCGAAGGTAAGATATCAATAAAGTTGGGCGTTGTATTTTTCAGCGAAAGAGGTCAGTTTGTTATAATGCAGGGGTGGCCAAGCTTTTTGATAGTCCGAGCCATTTTTCAAAATTTAAAATTTTTCGCGAGCCGCAATTAAATACGTATTAAAAAGGTATGCAAAAAATTCCAGAATTATATCCGTAGCAAGAGTCATACAAATTGTTTCTTCCAGAGCACAACGTCAGCTGTCCATTGCAATGACAGTTTACAAATTCAAAATCGGTCTGGAGTCGGTCGATAATGGACGATTACGCCACTGTTTATGTTCGTTCGCGCAGTTTTTGATGAGTCATATCATTCTTAACTTGGACGGAAATGAAATTTCTTACAACGTTGCACTTAATCTTTCATATTTTTTGTTAGTAATTTAAAAGACATTTTGAAACACATACGGAACAATAACAATTTTTTAAAATATAATAACACAAAAATGAAAAGGGAACTCCGGTACATTTATCGAGAGCCACAAATAATCCTTCAAAGAGCCGCATGTTGGCCACCCCTGTTATATATGTTACGTGTACTTCCGCTTGAGCGTGCTGTGGCGTGAGTGGTAACGCTCCTGATTTGTATGCTTGCATGCTCGGGTTTGATTCTCTTGTGTATACCTTTTTTTATTCATAAATACTTATAATGTATTTATTTATTTACTCATTTATTTTTTATTATTTATTGATTTTTTGGTATTTTTTTACTATTTATTTAATTTCTACTATTTCAAGTTTAATATTTTTACTTTGAAAACCCACCTTTTTCAAGTTGAGGGAGCTACCTATGCTGGGTTTGAACATGGGTCTTTTTCATTCACTCTTTAACAGTTCATTTCTGAATTTTGACACAAATGGATGTATTTGTGCTGTAAAATTTATTTTGAAAAATTATTTTATAATTAAAAAAATATCAAGAGAAGCAAGTTCTTCAC